CTGATTAGAATATAAAATGCAATGACAGTCCTTACATTCAGTGGAACACAGTGTAGACATTATGACAATTTACTCTGCAGATCAGTAAGAGCCTTTTCAGCCTTTCTTTCAATGAGAGAAAGCTCAGCCTGATGGGCCTTAAAGAAAGGCGTGTCTCTGGAGGGGCAGGCCTTTAACTGGAAGGTGTGTGCAGGGCTCCATGCAGCAGCCTGAGCCAACCAGGCCGGGTCTCTCCATCTTTCAGCTGTGACTGTCTGGATCTTGGCTCTGGTTTCTCCTTTCTGTTGCCATTTGCTGGCCAGCAGCTCCCACCACCACTCTCTCATGCTCTGGTGCACTGGGAAGAGTGACCACCTCTTCCTATCAAACCCTGAACATTCTCTATGAGTTTGGGCCAGTTTGGGCCACTTCTCATCCTTGAATTTACCATGTGATCAGAAGGATAAAACTGTGCTGACGAGTCAGTCCCATGTGTCATGGAACTGTGACCCCTGAGGCCTGGCCAGGAGAGGGAAAAGAGTGGCCACCCAAGGAAATCAAAGTATTATTGCCAGAAAAGGAATAGATACTGCGAAAAAAAAAAAAAATCCATGCTTGTCTAAGTATATACTAGCATTTAGATGTTTGAGGACAGAACTTTAATAAAATACATCCACAATAATATCATTAAAAATATCCACAAATACAAAACTTACATTCTTCAAAAGACACCATTTAGTGAGTGAAAATGCAAGCCACAATGCATGAAAGATGAGCAACACATAAAGCCAACAAACACATCCAGAATGTACAAAGAATTCATACAAATCTTAAGACAGACAAGCCAACAGAAAAATATGCAAAAGGCACTTCATGAAAGATCTCCAAATGGCCAATTAACTGGAGAAGATGCTTATCCTCATTATTTACCAGAGAATTGCAAACTGAAATGAAAAGTGAAACCCATACACCCATCAGAATGGTTAAAATCAAAAATACTAAGAAAAGAACACTGAGTATGGATGAGCTTCCAAAACCTATGGGAAGAGTAATGTAAGTTGGAACAACCACTCAGAAAAACAGACCTAGAGGGAATTCTCTGCTGAGCACACACCGAACCATGAACACATGAACCAAGAAACACGTAACACAGAACATTTATCAGAATGCTCAAAGCAGCACTATTCATGATTCTAAAATTGGAAACACCCCAACTGTTCACGTACAGCAAAAGAGGGGTATATTCATAACAGGATACATACAATAGTGTGTGCTCAGTATTGGTCTACCAGCGGGTAGAGCTGGACTCAAACACCTTTGGGAAGGAGGCAGGGAGTGATGACTAGAGGTCCACAGGGCTCTGGGATGCTGACACCACGTGCTCTCAGACCTGTGGGGTGATCACCTGCATTTACTCAAGACCAATTCCCAACCCAGGTGGAGGTTTCACAGGTTTGTAGCTGGGCATTTTCATGCCATATGCACTGCACATGGGGTACCACCTTCACTGTCTGGGCTCCATTACCCCATAGGGTGCTGGCTGCTGGGTTACAGGAATCGTTCTCTCTGAGATGCACCTGTTCCCAGGCCAGTCCTTGTTACTTGTCCCTAAGCAGCCTGAGGGGAATTTAGTTCCCTAAAGAGCTCCTTCTGGACCCACAATCAAGGAATGACTGAACTACAAGGTATGAATGCCATGTCCTGCTTAGATGCTGCCAACAGCTGCCCATCTTTCTGAAGACAAAGACCGAACTCGTGGCCCAGCCCAGCTGTTGGAGCTCACCCTACACCACATCCCCATCCCATGTGCCTGGCCCCATTCATTGTCCTCCTGTGACCCAGCTCTTTCCTTGAATTTGCTCATCCCTCAACAACAGAGTTGTGAATTGTGCAGGTCCACTTACACACATATTTTTTCAACCAATACAGTACAGTGCTGTAAATATATTTTCTTTATTATTTCTCTAACTGATCTTATTGTAAGAATACAGTACACAGTACATATAACACACAAAATATGTGTCAGTCAACTGGTTTATGTTATGGGTAAGGCTTCTCCTCAACAGCAAGCTATCAGTAGTTAAGGTTTCAGGGAGTCAAACCTTATACACAGATTTTCCACTGTATGGGGGAAGGGGGCACACCAAACCCTCATGTTGTTCAAAGGTCAAGTGTATATAGACACACAGACACACACACACATAAAAGTATATAACTGATTAATGCCTAGCTCTAGGAAAGGAAAAAATGTGTCTATTTTCTCATTATTGTATCCTAGTGAGGATACGTGGTAAGTATTCAATACGTATCTGAATTGTTAAAGACAGCAGGACCAAAATGCAGTCACTGTGCTAAACCCCATGTCAGCAGGACCAAAACTTAATATCTAATCTAACTGCAGTCTCAATCCCCAGGAATGTAACTTTTTGTAATTAGCTGGTTAGCACCAGTGTGACAGTCTGGCCCACAGACCCCTTCCATTCCCTGAGGAAGGCGACCTTGCCTAAAACAACACATTGTCTAACAATGTCGTTCTCACACCCTTTCCAGCTTTAAAAGCCTTTCCTTTCCTACAGCTCAGCAAAGCTCCTTTCTACTGCTAGACGGGGATGCTGCCTGACTCATGCATCACTAAATAGCCAATTTGATCTTTAAATTTATTCAGTTGAGTTTTTGTGATTTAACAGATTTAGCAGCAGTGATGGAATATGAAGCGATCTCTGGCAGCTTCAGGGATGAGGAGAAACACAGGCCTGGTACCCTGCAAGCACTTTGAGTTCTCTTTGTCCCTGTTTCCGGGGGCCCTGGGTGAGTTCCTCTCAGCTCTGAGCTCGGCTCTCTTTGTGCTGAGCTCCTGCTCTCATTGGATTTCCACAGTTGCCCATTTGGTTGGAATCCCTACCCACATCCTCTCCCCACTCTGCCCAGATTCCACAGTGGGAACTGCTGGTGGTTACTGGGTCCAACTTAAAAACTGGATTGGGTCCTGGATCAAACTGAGCCCAATTTAAGCTGGGCTGGGTCCAACACAAGGCCTCAGGTGAATAAAATGTTGTAGTAAGTAACGGCTTGTAGCTAATGGGAATCTTGGAAGCCAAAAAAGCTGGAAATCCTGTGGGCACAGGTCAAGCATTGAAAGGCTGTGGGAGTGCTTGCCACCTCAAAAAGATGCTCACGAGAGGATAAGCTCGTCACAGAAAATGATAAGTGGGATCATAATTAAAGTATCCTTGATGGTTTAATTTGTAGCAAAAGAAAACATAAAATTCTCCACATGACCCAGAACAGGAGAAAGTCTTAATTCTAGCTACCCTGAGGCTAGAACTAGGATAAAATGAGCAAGGCTGGTAACAAAGGTGTGGGGAGTGGGAACGGCACCAAATCAGGCACAGTCATTTCTGTTTGTTGAAGTCCTTGCCTAAATTATTAAATATTTTTAAAGGTAACACTACTCTTTATATTTAGCTGCTTTAATTAAAAAAAAAGAGAGAGAGAGCGAGAGAGAGACTATGCCCTCTTTCTGTTAGCCAGACTGAAGCAAGCCTGACTTTACAGACGTCAAGTCCTCACCTCGGTACCATGACGTGTTAGGTAAGCACAAGACACCGACGACAGTAGGACACTGTAGTCGTAAAAGTCATTTCCTTTTTCAGTTATTTAAAACAGATCCAGATGTCTCCCTCTGTCATAGCCTCTCTTTTGTACTCCAGGCCAGTAGGCTTTCCCAGGAAAATAAACGGGTGGTCGGCCCAGGTCGGCGGGGGAATCCCAGGTGCAAGCAGACACCCCTGGCTGGTGCCATCTCCATCACCAGCCCAAAGACCAGCGGGTCAGGACCCCCTGGCGCCGGCTTTCGCCACCTTCACAAAAATCATCCGCTTGAAGCCTGCCCTGTCACTCTGACACGCAAAGAAGTGAGTCCGACTGTAGCCCGTCGGTGTTGCAACCACACCTGCTTGACGCAGCCTCCCTCGGGTCCCCGACCCCCCACGAGTCCCGTGGGACCCGGCAGAGTCCACGTCCCCAGACACGGGCGCAAGGGCACTGCATGCTTTCAGGGCCGGACTCCAGGGATTTCCACAAAAGCACAAGAATGGGACTCTATGATCCTAAAATGCACATAATCTTTCTTCGGGAAAAACCTACTTCAACGACCAATAGGGGCCCCTTCACACCAGGTTCCAAACTCACAAAATATCCTGAATATAAATACAACTGCATTGGAAGTCTCTTTCAGGAGCATTTCAAAAACTACCGTGTCTTTACGAGGAACAGAACAGGTAACAGGTGCCCTGACAAGAGTCGGGCCTCGGGCCACCTGTCTCTCACCTGGGGCCCGCCGGGACCTGGCGCACAGCCCCGGATGCGGACGCTCAGTCCAGGTGAGCCGAGAGCGCCGGGTCCTCGCCCCGCGCCCCGCCCCACCCCCTGTCGCCCTGGTTACGAGCCACCGCCCCTTGGCACCCACGGCCGTTTCGTCATTTCCGCCAGAGGCTAAGGGCACTTCCGCTTCCGGGTCGTGCCTCACTTCCGGGCGCCGCCTCATTTCCGGCCGCTCTGGCGCGGCGGCCCATCCCCGGCCCGGATGCTCCAGACGCGGCGCCCGGCGGGGAGCGGCGGTGAGTACAGTGCCAGGGCTCCCCCGATCCCTCGCTCCGGGCAAGGCCGTCGCCCCCAGAGCCGCCCCTCCGCTCGGCCCCGCGCTCGGGTTCCCCGGGGCTGCCCGGGTCTCTCCGCTTCTGTCCCTTTCTTCCCACCTCCCCTTCCCCACCCGCCCCCCGCGGCTTTCCCGCCCCCTCCCTGCTCCGCCTCTCCCCTCCCCCCTCCCACCCTGCACCGCTCCCCGCTTCCCTTCTCTCCTCCCCCTTCCCACCTGCACCGCTCTCCGTCTCCGCTGTCTTCCCGGGGCCTGCGGGGACCCGCCCCCGAGGGGCGGCCCGGCGGTGCTGGCGCGCTGAGCGTGCCCTCTGGTCCTCCTGCAGGACGTCCGCAGGGGAGCAGCTGACCGGCGGGCGTCAGGCATGGCCGCTGCCTGGAAGCGCGCCCTGCTGGTCCTGCTGGCCTCGCAGGTGGTGTCCTCGGCGAGCTCCTCGGACGAGGACGACGTCCCCGAAGAGTGGCTCCTCCTGCACGTTGTGCAGGGCCAGATAGGAGCCGGGAATTACAGCTACTTGAGGTTAAACCACGAGGGGAAGATTGTTCTCAGGATGCGGAGCTTGAAGGGAGACGCAGACCTGTACGTGTCGGACAGCACGCTCCACCCGAGCTTCGACGACTACGAGCTCCAGTCCGTCACGTGCGGCCAGGACGTGGTGTCCATCCCTGCGCACTTCCAGCGCCCCGTGGGCATCGGCATCTACGGGCACCCGTCCCACCACGAGAGCGAGTTCGAGATGAAAGTGTACTTCGACCGCAGGGTCGAGCAGTCCCCGTTCGCCGAGGTCGCGGTCTTCGACGGCAGGGACCCGGCGCACAGGCACGCCCACGCCCCCGAGGATGCGCCCCAGGAGGAGGAGTCCGTGCTCTGGACCATACTCATTAGTATTCTGAAACTGGTACTCGAAATCCTGTTTTGATTCACTGAACATGCTCTGGAGGCTCATCCCCGTAACCTGTGAAGTTGACTGCAGTTCTCTCTGAATCCAGCTACCCTGATCTGGTGGAAATTGTGGTTACTTCTGATTGGGGGATGGAAAAATAAAGCCATACAGTTTTGTTACCTCATATACCCCACAAGTAGGGAAAGCAGCAAGAACGATGTTTTTTTTCCTCCATATGTCAAAATTCCTGTAAAAGGAATACGCACAATAAAATGTTTAAACTCCAGTTTGATTAGCTTGTCAGGTGACTAAAAATATTGCAGTAACCCAGGTATATATAAAATAAGTCGAAATAGAGCATCAGATTAAAAGGTTGGTAGCTAGAACTGTATTCTGGTTAGGCTCCCAATGCAGTTACAACGTGTAGACTTTGAAGAGTTACTAAAAGCAAGTCTGAAATGTAATGATTTCTGGGGATTTGCGTGGGTATGGGGCAAAAGCCCCGTGCCTGCTCCCCAGGTCAAGTGGGCACCCCTCTCCAGACAGATGATCTGGCAGACCCAGGGTGCCCCTGTACCAGCTGCACCGAATCTCATCAGGTCATTTGTTATTTATCACCTTGGGCTACCTATTAATTAAAATTCTTCCATCATTAAAATAACTTTGTTATGCTACCCACGACAGGCCAGAAACAATACAGGCTAGGAGAATTTCATGCAAATATTAGTCACTTTCAGGTCAATGGAGGAATAGTTGAGTATTTCAATTAAATTGCCTAATATTTCCAACTGAATTTCTGCATAGAGCCAAAGTACTAAGAGATTACAAGAAATTTTTGGAAAATTTATTTCTCTACTTGAAATTGGTTTCAAGGGTAAAAGTGGCTTATAACAAATAAATCAACTTGCAGATTTTAAGCATGTAGTTAATTTCAGAAATCTTTTATTGGCATAAAATTGAGAATGTAAGTAAGTTGGCACCAAATATTTCATTTAAATCCATATTTTATCCCTCTTTGCTGTTTTTCCCCCTTCTGCCCACTTTCCTGGGTGTTGGGGGGGCTCGCTGACAACAGTCACAAATCCAGCGACCTAGGAGAAAAATTGTTAGTTAATATAGTATGAAATTTAATTCTTTAGGACTGAATTTTAAACCCATTCGTCTCTCCTTCCTTAGCTATCACTAATGATATTTCTCTGTGGATTTGTGATGTGAAAGACACTAATGAGTTTAATTTAAGGAGAAAAATGTAAACTTCCCTTCATCAGTGTAATCAGTACCATATGAAATTCAGTACCAATGGGGGGTGGGGTGGGAGGAGCAATTCTATACAACGATATGGACTTTAAAAAATTATTACAATCCTTTCTGAAACCCAAAACACTATCCTACTTTCAGAGTTCAATACTACAAATCCTCATATAAAACCTGTTAGAGAGCTTGGCTTATTTTCAGCCCTTCTCTCTGCTGCTCAGTGGCAGCTCCCAAGGCCTGGTGTACCAGACACAGCACTTTAAACTGATCAGTGATAAACTGTACCATGTACTCCATCTGACTTAACTACAGAACTTCATGCCTGCTTCTTAATGATTCCCAGGAAACTTAGTTCTTGGCATATATTTTATAAAAGTATTATTCAGTGTTAACTATGCAATAAGTTCTAGATTTACACAATTATGTGTAATATTTTAGTCCAAGTACTGTGATTTATTCTTCGACTCAGTGTTCATTCCAAAGTTACCTGGAATTGTCATGCTGCCTCATTTTATAGAAATCTGGTTTAATATTTATAAAGGCATAGCAGTCATTTTTGTTAAGTTTCTGAATAGATGATATAAAAATAAAATCAAGACTTTGAAACAAATTGATGCTCTTGCTTTAGTTCTTTCAGTAGAAAGACATGAGTTCACTCTACATTGAACTCTACTTCCAATACTTGGATGGGGCACTCTGACATCCCATTTGTCCTTTAGTTGGATTACCTAGGGATGAAAAGCAGGCGGACGTTATCTGGATAATCACAGCTTTGGTCACTTCTTATGAACAGAAGGATCCTTAAGGTGTTTATGCAGAGCCTTTAAAAAAAAAGGCTGGGAGAGTCCCTTCACTCAAAGATAATGTTCCTCCTTTTTTCAGTCTTTACCTGATGGAATAGCACCAAGGCCCACACAAAAAGTATGATAACCTCTGTCACACACATCACAGAACATCATTTCTTCTTCGTGGTGGGGTTGTCCACATATAATGCAAGTTTTACATTCCATACACTGCCATGGGTAGGTCTTAATCATAGAAACAAGCTCCATGGTCATATCCAGGCAAGAAGGATGGCCTAAACCAAAACCAGCATTAGTATTTCACAATAGAAGTTTGAACTTAATACGGCATAATAAAATGCTAGTTTGCTTTGAGTTCTCAAGAATGGTTACAATGTTTAATCACCAAAGAAATGAAAATACAAGAAGTAGAGGAAAATACATGGGCTGCTTTTCTATGCCTCACAAGTTACCCTATCTATCAGATGATTCTCTGATTCAGGTCTGACAGCTAAAACTCCTCGTTTTTGAAGCAACAAACAGGGTGGTTAAAATGTTAAGAAGACATGTTAGTACTTACCACTGTTATCACACTGGGAGCAGTGTATAAGTGATTCAGCCTTCCCTTTCTTGTTGGACTCCTTACCCTTCAGACAAATTCCACATAGAGCATTTGGAATGACCTTTGGCTGGAATGGTAGAAGAGGGCTATAAATTGATGCCAGAAGAACTTACTATGGGTTCACAGGGAATTGTTACTGCCTCATCTTTACTTTTGGTAACTTGCTAATGAGGACTTTTTTGAAAGACCTAACTTGAGAAAGCCGGCTTTCAACATACGATGGCCTACTAACTAAAGCCTTAGATTTTGTTTAAAAATTCTGTCAACAGCGTGATCTCATGTCAGGATTAAATGTAGCATTCTACACTCCCTACGTGCACAGTAAGGTCCGTATGATGAACTGGAAGGGAGCGCTACAATGTCAAATTGCACTATTAACTGGAAGAGAAAATCCCAAGTACCGAACGACCGTTACATGTATAGTCAGGCTTACTGATAAATGGAAGGCTTCGTGTTAAGCAGCTTATATACTGGTTTTGTTTAAAAGCTGATTATTTTCCAAAGTTGTAAAAATAGATCTATAAAATCTAAGTTACAAGAATCAATGTTTTAACATTTTTAATTGAAAGATGTCTCATCCATACATTGTCATGTGCATAAATGTTTCTGGAAACCAAGCTATGATTATTCCCTTTGCATATCTAATAATAAAAGAGCCTGTGCTTAGGGGAAAAGCATTCCATAGGAGATACAAAACATAGAAGAGGAAATAAGTTTTCAGACAAGCAAAAAAAATCACTTAAAAAATTATAGACACCCTCGTATTCTTGAGTACCATTCATTTTTCAGATTAAAGCCTTGCTCAATCCAATGAAAGTATTTGGGCTTTAAAAAACACTTAGCAACACATGGAAAAGGACAAAGAAGAAAAGATTCACAGCACCTACAGTTATCAGGGGAGGGAGAACATACAAACATCACAGCTTTGACCGTAATAAGATGATGTTCATTAATGCTACTCGAATACGTAAGTAATGGTGGCAGAAAAAGAAGAGCAAGCATGGGCCAAGTAGGAGATGGGCCAGGGGCATACGTGTATACATGACCTGCGGGGAGATTCTCTTCAACAGGATTGTGGTATTTCTGTTTTATTCCAACCCAGCCAAATACATCTTCTATTTCCCTCTCCTAAGTTACTAAACCAAAGAGGAGCCTAAAGGAAACTCCAACTTTGTATACAGTATTCCAGCTTTGAAATGTCTCACTGCCACCTTCAAAACCTGTTAGGCCTAAACAATTTGTTCTTAATTCTTTAAATTCTTTATGTTTTAAATTGTCTTTCTTTGCAAAAGATGACAGAGGCATTCAAAAATAATTTTTGGCTTATTTATTTAAAAAAAAAGTCAACCTTATACATAAATATAATAACAATAACTCTAAACAATCACAAATGTCTCTACAAAATAATAAATATCATGGAAGTTAAAACATACATATAAAACTTTACCATTAACTATCCTACATCTCCTGTATGTCTGTATACCCTGCTCCCCCAACAAAAGGATAGTGTCACATGCTCACACCGTGTGCGTCTTGCACTACAGTCACCCTCCATTGTTGCTGCTACATTCTAAGCAGGAGGTTCTCACTGTGCTTCCTACACCTAAATACAAAATAGCTAGAAGTGCACTTCTATGATCCAAGTTCTGATCCGGTGATGACCACATCTGTAACTGCCATAATATACAGCAGAAAGCTACCTCTCAATACACCAAAATAAGAACTCTGTTGGTTATGGCACCTGCACTGAATGTAAAAGACTTATTTAATACTTGTAGTCGAAGTTAGATACTGGCATATACCAAGTATTCGAATATCTTTCACTAAAGTCAGGGAAGTAACTACATAGTATTAAATTCTAAAAGAACTCCTCATAGGAAATCCTTTACAAAAGTCAAAAAGGAATCAAACACAAGGCTAGTCATTCACATTCTAGAGCAATTCAAGTTCTACAGCCATTAAAATATACATTAAACACCTATGATAAAAAAGGGATACCAAGAAAATTCTAGGTTTACTTCTAAGCTTAAAATCATAATATTTTGTTAAACCATTTAAAATGTTTCTTACCCAATAGTCTTCATCTTGATGAAAAGAGGGAGTGACGGGGTGGAGAAGAGAGAGAGAAAGAGAGAGAGACAGAGCTTTGTAGCATTTCCTATGGCAATTCTTTGTTCACTCAAGCACTCTGAGCTCTCTGAGAAGCCACCCTGCTCACACCCAGGACCGCCAGTTGGGAAGCTAGTCTCTGAAGCTAGTCCTCTGATGGAGGAGGAAGGAACAGTGTGCAGAACTCCCGCGAAGACTGATGGAACAGAACCCTATGTCTGACAGTCAGTTATACTTCTAGTAACTGCAACAACATCAAAGTTTCACTATTGATAAGAAAATTAAAATACTCATCCTAATGGTTCTCAGCATCTCAAATAAAAGGCTCACAATACACTGACTTTCCTGCTTGAGAAATAACCAAAGATAAGTGAGACTTTCACGGTAGCACTAATATAGTATAGATTTTAATTATAAACTTGTCACATAGGCCTGAATCCTAACAATTATGCTTTAATTGCAGGTTAATGTAACCTAAACAATACTGTCCTACAAATTAAGGGCAAGCACTAGTGAATCTTATTAAGCAAGACATCAGATACGTCATCATTTTTCTTAACTCCAACATATTTATATATATGACCTTCAGCTTGAAGTACCCTAATATTTAGGCACATCTTGGCTTATTAATATTTTTCATACAGAGGTTACTTTTAATAAACATGTTCACATTAATGTATTAAGTCTAGATACTGGTTGTTCCAAACTTTGAAATACCTGAAACATTTTTAGGTACTAAAAATGTTCACAGAAATTATAAAATGTGTATTTTGCATATTACACTCCCTTGAGTAATATCAATTTAGGTCAATCTATAGGATTTATTCTAGATTAAATCAATGATACTGTGGAATAATCTTCATTTTCAGCCTCTATTAAAACATCTACTTCACCATTCGCTCCTCTGAACCCACGATGAATCCAGGCTTATTATGAAAGGTCTCCTTAATGCTGACAGTGTGCTTTGAACTGCCACTCCCATTTGAAGACCAGCAGCACACTTTGCAGCACACACACCAGGCTAACTTTCCAAGATTTAATCTCTGGAGTTCATTTGCTTTCAATTATTAAGCATTAATTTACATCTTACATTTAAAAAATTAGGTAAGCTATCTATGTAAAAACAAGTATAAAAAACACACAGCGGCAGCCTATTGAAGCCATCTTTGGAAGCCAACCCTTGCGAAATGAAGCTTAAGATATGCTTGCCATAGGCTGAAAAAAACATGGATTTTTAAATTGATTATGTAATGGCATTTTCAAATTAAATATGGATTAAATTAAACACTAATTTGTTAAGTTGCTTTGTTTACTTCAGGAAAAGAAAGGTAAGCAGATTGCTGGAAGGGTCCGGCTGGGGAAGGGAAGTTGGCTGGCAGCCCCCGTGCACCTGTTCCTCTAGATCGTCCACTGTGACCACAATCCTGACCCACGACAAGATGTTTTTAACAATTCCATTCAGCAAAACTGCTCCATCACCTTACTCTAAAATGTTCCTTCAAAACACCTTCATAACCACAGTTAAAGGCATATTCAGATATATTCCAGACCATTTGAATGGTCTATTTTACTATTACCATCCAGAACATAAAACTATACGGCTGATTTCACCCCCTCCAGAACATTCCTAAACCCCCATCATGTAGGCATAGGGCTACTCACCTCTCACCTAGCCCTCGGAAGGGGAAGACGATAACAATAATATTGCTGATAGCATACCACCTTGCTCTGAGAAGAGCCAGACCAGAAGTTCACAAGTTTATCTATCTATATATATATATGTGTGTGTATGTGTGTGTGTATATATATATATATATAAGCCAGATTACATCACTAGATAATGCTTAAATCCTGGTCATAGAGTCATAGAGGCTATTTGCCAAGGTTAAGCTAAAAATCACCATAATGTAAATAACAGGTTTTACTATTTTCTATCGCAGAGTTAGCTGAACTTGGCCAATGGATCGAATAATCTTTAGATTAAACTCAGATCTTTCTCCAGGAGAGGAGCTTATTCTCAGAGTCAATCCACCCATCCTTTACATCTTAGCATGCTCAGCTATACTGAATACTAGGACATTGTAAATATCAGATAATTAGGATCTTTACTCCAAGGAAACAAAATATAAAGTTCTGCCTATGAAATGAATTTTTAAAAACCCATACTTGCCTGGTTATTGTTTAAAAAACAAAAAGGATTTTCTTATAAATTGTACATCTACAGAAAACAGAAGCTGAACCATAGGCAAAAGTGACAGAAAAGCCACCAGGAAGATAAAGCAAACAAGAAGGGAGCTGACAGAGGGCACACACCACAGAAGAGCTAGTGAAGTGCAGCAGGCAGAGCTCCACAGCTTTGAAAGTCAAAGTTAAACTATGTCGGGGAGAGAGGCTGGTCAGGAAGGAAGCGGAGTCAGGGGCTTTTTTCTTCTACCTTGTACCCAGGGACTGACTTGGACAGTACAGAACGTTTGGAAGCATCTTTTCTTGGAGTAGCAGCTTTGTCCTTGGATCTCTGTCTTCCCTGGAGAGGCTCCTCCTGGCTGTCGGGAAGGCCTTCCCCTTCAGACACGTTGCCGGAGGAGCTGTCCTGGAGGTCAAAGGCACAAACAAAGATCCCTTGGAATTCACATAGACTTGAGTGTGATTTGTAAAAAGTTTTAAAGTTCCATCAGTGTAAAAATAAAAATATAACTGTAAATAAGAAAACTTTTTCCAGTGCCGACTAAAAGAAGTCATACCTGTGTGATAAATACATGAAAGCACAGAGCTAATTCCATTTACACCAGCTAGTACCTTAATCCACCGTTTTCTGACGTAACACGAACAGTACTGTCTGCTTTGGTGCTTCGACACTGTTGTGCCGTGTCACGGGGGGCATTGTTTGTTTCAGACAAAAAACTACTTAAAAAATAAACTGTCTTAAATAAGTGTGGGTATTTTTTACTGAGTAATAAATGATATTAGAGTTCTTCAAGCACCCATTTGTATTCCATGCAAGCACCAGTATCGCTGAGCCTTTACGACAGGATCTGACATATTTTAGATGTTCAAAGTTTAGGAGTTCGATATCTCATCATTTAATTCTTCATTTTTTAATTTAAAATTTCCTAATTAAAATAAAAATGCTATGTTCATATAAATTATGGAAATTAATAACTGAAAAACTTAGGTTATCCATAACTACTTTGATAAACAGTCTGAGACAACTACTGGGAACATGAATGCATCTCCTTTTAATTTTTTCCAGGTATGTGTCTGCATATAAATACACAGATTCACACATTCACACACACATACACATACCTATCTACACATACCCCTCACTTTTTTAGAACACAAAACTGGTGAGGCACCTGGGTGGCTCAGTCAGTTAAGTGATCGACTCCTGGTTTCCGCTGAGGTCATGATCTCAGGGTCGTGAGATACAGCCCCGCATCGGTCTCCAGGCTCAGCGTGGAGTCTGTTGAAGATTCTCTCTCCCTCTCCCTCTGCCCCTCCCCCACTCCTCTAAAATAAATACATCTTAAACATGATCTTAAAAATACACACACACACACAACTGGATTACACTGTGTTTTTCAATTGTTTTAAGTATTATGTGCATTTTATCACATCATTTAATATTCTTTGAACTTCATTTCTGTCATGTAAATGTAATATATCACCTACTGTGAACATTACAATTATTCCTAATTTCCATTATAAAAAAATACAGTTAACACTCCAATGGCCATTTTTTGTCCTAATTATTGTCCTTCAGGTAAATTCTGTTAATATATTTGCTAGGTCAAATTCTGTGGAAGTCAAAAATCTTGGTATAACTGTTAAATGCTCTCCTGAAATGCTGAATTAATTTATACTCCAACAAGCAGAGTGAGGGAAAGTCAACATAACCTGCTCACACCACAGCAACCCTTTCACCAGTAAGACAGGAGAAAAGTGGTACCATCCTTTAATACTTGAATAGCATCTTAGTTTATGTAACATGTATCATTAAATGTTTTAGAATGTATTGGTGACAAAAAAAATGTACTGCACATCGAATGGTAGCACATTCTCAGGTTCAGGTTGGCTGCTCAGTGCACCACGCTAAATCAGATCAGAACCCTCTGACGTCGTGGTTTTGTTCTCCTTCACTTCCACCGAGCACACCAACACTGCCCAGTCATGCAACTGCATTTTGCTTTAAAAAAAAAAAAAAAAGTCATACAAGAAAACCTACCTAATAGCACAACATACCAGTCACCTTCACGTTTTCCTATAGGAAATCTAAATTATTAATTGAGCAATAGCATGGGCGCCCGGGTGGCTCAGTCAGTGAAGCGTCTGCCTTTGGCTCAGGTCCCAGGGTCCTGGGATCGAGCCCTGTGTGGGGGGACCCTGCTCCGCGGGGGGTCTGCTTCTCCCCGCTGTGCTCTCTGTTGCTGAATCTGTCTCTCTAAGTAAAATATTAAAAAAAAAAAAAAATTAAGCAATAGGAACACAAGTTAATGTGCTCCCAAAACCAAGACAGTTCAACATAGGATTGTAAACTCATGTCCGGTGCCCTTTCCTAACCTGCCTGTGATAACTTTAAAAATAAAACTTACCAAAGGCCATCCACAGCCTGTCTATACCAGTGCACACAATAAATAATTTTCTTGATGAAAGCATTCAGGAAATTATATGCCAACTGTCCTTTTTCAAAAAGAGGGCGGTGATACAAGTCCAATTCAACATCTGGGAAGCAATTAGCAAAAACTCAAAGGGAAGGAGACACCTCCCAGTAAAGACCAATGTTCCTACCGAAGTGCCTTTATGTTTCCGTTTCTCATCGCCTCGACCATCCTCAGCATCATCCGAATCGCCGTCGCTGTCTAGGGCCGGGAGCTCAGGATCCAGAGGGGGCTCATAAAGTGCGGTGTTTAATGGCAGATACCGCAGTTCATCTGGTGAGTACCTGAGGTTCAGAGACATGACTGTCAGTTGTCTTTTATGATTAATATGAATGATCTAATCCACGACCTTCAAACATAGCCTTAATCTTCTCAATTAACCCCAAATACTTTTGGAAAAAGTATTTTTCCAGATGTAACAAATAAGTTTTCATTTTGTATCAAGTAAGGAAAATAAATAAAAAGCCTAAACATTTTTTGCACCAGGTTGAACGTAATATACACATTTGATTCTTTTTTTTTTTTTTAAAGATTTTATTTATTTATTTGAGAGAGAGAGAATGAGAGATAGAAAGCACGAGAGGGAAGAGGGTCAGAGGGAGAAGCAGACTCCCTGCTGAGCAGGAAGCCCGATGCGGGACTCGATCCCGGGACTCCAGGATCATGACCTGAGCCGAAGGCAGTCGCTTAACCAACTGAGCCACCCAGGCACCCTATACACATTTGATTCTTATTATCAAAAGATATGTCGTCTCTCTCCTTCATCCTCAACCCAAAAAGAGGAAAAAAAAAAAAAAAAAGTCAGCCGACTAACGTGGAACTGTGGCAATTAAGGACTGTGCACAAAACCCATGCCCCCTGAGCGCCCCACCCCTCACTCCCTAAGTTATCACTGCTTCTGGGTCCACCACTGCTTCACATGTACAATGAGTATAACGATGCATCCACCTCACAGACAGATGTGAGGATTTTATCAATCGACACTTGCAATGCACGGCAGTGAGTGGTCCATGACATTATTTAAGAAACCAAATCAATCATCTATTGTGTCTGAAATGAAAGATCAGCAGCCCCTCACCCTGAGTCAGATGGCATCCACACCACAGGACACTGTGACCATTCCCACCCACAGGCTGGCCCTCTCCCATGTCACACCCTGTCCACACCCTGAAACCTGAGTTTAGGAGTGGGCACTGGATCAGCATCTCCCTCAACTAAAACAGCAAAAAGCAAAGGGACTGGTACCCTGGCATATCACTTTTAATAATTTGCTGACCCAAAAGTGAAATTAAAATCTGCTAACCCATGATTTAAATTTGGCTTTCAAATAGTAGGATCCTATAGTCTATTTTAAATGCTATTCCTTAAAGAACAGTCTCTTTCCTCAAGAACATAAGGTTTAGGGCTGAAGTAAAAGCTGAGATTTTCAAATAAAATGATCCTGTTAGCCTGGTTTTCAGTTACATCCCGCTTGGGACGAAGAGGTAAACAGCACTCTTGCCACACTGTGTGGAAGTAGCAGCCAGGCCGGCGGTGTGGCTGGAACAAGCAGGTGGCCGTGCCCACCCCGGCAGCCCCTCTGCTCCTTCCTTCATTTCCTCTGCCGAGTAAGTCAGTGCTTCCCAAGTGAGCAGGTCTGGGGTTGTGCCTGGAAGTCTGCGTTCCCAACAAGCTTTCAAGTGACACAGGTACAGTTTGAGGCCTGGGGTGCTTTAGAACTTCTGACGCCTGCCCACAGAAACACAAGCAGGTGGGCGGGGAGATGGGCAGCCTGGGCTTTGTCAGCAGACAGCACACGTTCAAGCACTGCCTGAAGGGGGTTCTTCTGTGTGCAGAGCCACAGAAGTCAGAGAGAATACGGACACATGCCAAACTCTTTGGAGGCAAGTATACCAGACTCTCAAGTCCCTCAGCAATACCCAATAGTAATGGTCATAAAACCAATGAATACCTTTTGTAATATTCCTGGAACTGTCCGGGGATGAGGGCCACTGGGTAAGAACTGACCTTGGTTCGCTCTGTCGGTAACACTTTGTACTTCCCTTGAGGCACCTGGATAACCTGGGTTAATGTGAAGAGAAATACAAAACTGATTCCACACTAGGAATCAAGGTTTTAGGAACACAACAGCTCTTGTTCTCCACTGTGCTCCTCCCCGCAAAAGGCTAGAAACACAGGAGACATTAGGAACTAGAACCCAAGGGGACAGGAGGGTGTTTCTAGCTGTACATGGGAACTGTGTCTGGCTCTTCGCCACAGCCCTCACTGCTGAGGGAAACATAGTGTGCTTCTGCCCACCACTGACGAGCAAGGGGACCTGGGCAATGCATACAGTGTCCTCATCTATGAAATGAGAAGAATACTAGCTTCAACCTCACATGGCAACTGTGAGTATTAAGTGAATTAAGATGGAAATTTCTTAAAACAACCCTTGGGACAAGCAAAAGTCAACCACAGAGCAAAAGACACCTCCCTCACACACACACAGAAGTGAGCAGAGTATTACTGGCATAGCGTTAAAAATTATATCTTAAGTTCTGGGGCAGAAAAGGACACATTGCCAGCAGAAAAAAAAAAAAAAAACAACGGTTAAATAAAGGAGGTACTGAGCACTCTACCCTAACAAGCACAAAGTGAGGTTCAGGAACTAATAAAGTTAAGCAGCCCTACGTGCGTCTGCAAGTCAAAATAAGCTCTTCTTTCTTCCATACGTTCCCGGTTTAAGTTGCTGTTAAATTCAGCTGCTTTTTTGGCAGCTTTCTTAATGTACTCAGGCACTTTGCTGGCTTCAACCTTCTGAGTATTCTGTTGTTGCATTTGCTGAAATAAAAATATTACAGTTGGAAGTCACATACAACTTTACAAAATGTCATTCTCCCCAAACCAAATAAGAGATGCCAATCACCTCAATACTTACAGAATACTCTTTATAATGATCTGTAATTCGCTGACGTTCTTTTTCTTGTAAAATAACAGAATATTCAGCATGTTTGGCCGGATATTCTTTTATCATTAAATCAATCACTTCATCACTGCGCAATGCTGTTAAACCTATTTTAGACCAAAAAAATAGTTTAAAAAAAACTCTTTTAAGGCTAAGTGAACAAAACTACTTTTCAAAATTTGCTTTTCCTTTAATCTACTCTACATTTAAAATTTTCCAGTAGTCAAGGGAAAATATTGTAATATATTTGAAAATAACAAAAAACAATATTCATAATATAAAGTCAAACATTTTTTTAAAAAAAGCTCATCAAAGTTGCAAAGGAAAATAAATCAATTTTTGAACCACATTTTTTTTTTAAGATTCAATGTACTATAAACATAGATCCCTTTATTAAAAGCAATGGCTAAATAATGATGCATACTAACTTAGGCCATTGTGGATTAAGGATTATCCTTAATCTAATATCCTTAACTAAGGAAAGATATTAGACAAAAACAAGAGTTTTTCAATATATTGCAGTAGTTAAGTCTTCAAATTCAATACACTAGAAATATTACAAAGAGTCCATTCAAATTCCAAGAGAAGCATCAGCACACACATACAAATCATACAGGCAATTTTCAAAACTCAGAGCATCCAATCATACCAACTGTTGTGATAAACATCCATGGTTTTATGTTAAAAAGTGCCACGGAGCATTAAAATGTTTATGAAAGAAAAACTGGAAACAAAGCATGGAGATAAGCCTACAGAACTAAAAACAGAGCAAAATGTGCCTTATAAGAGATAAAGACCAATACTTTTTAAAACTACTATACAAATTTTGCACACCACACACACGGACACTTCTGTGAAATATTGTTATAAAATGTCATTCTCCTTTATATTTTAACAAAAACCAAAAATAAACAATTTAGCATTTAAATAATTCAATCTATCTCATTAATTTTGTAAAATACTTTAGGAAAAAGGACAAATACCCATCCAGTATCACCTCATAAATATCTAGCTTTCATAATTCCCGTTTCAAAGCCTCTGTTACCTAGAGTGCACTGCGTCTCTGTGATGACATTCAGCTCCCGCAGGTAGAGTTTCTCCTTATGGGACAAATCTCGTCGCTCTAAATCTCCAAAAAAAAGAACAAAAGACTATTAAAAATAGTCTTTTACATTGGTAACATTATGCATTTGTAAAACTTTTTAAAAACTTAAAAACCTTAAGATTTTTTTAAAAAGTTAAATTCTTCATGGACTTAAAAAAGTACTGTGTGTTATATATTCCAAAGATTACTAAAGAGACCACGCAAACAATCTTACAAATTCAAGGAATAAAAGCTAAATTAAAGTTGAAAACAGAATAACCCAAAGCAAGAATAGTAACTTAGTTGCACAGACAGCTTTTCTCAAATGCAGACACAGCCCCGTGTAGCTGCCTCCCTCGCTCAGGCCAGGGAGCAATGGGAAAGAATCAAATTCCTGCTGCTTTTGGCCATAACATGACTTTTTCTAAGGAATTCACCAGGAAATTCACCTTCCACATTTTGCTTTTAAGTCCATTTATAAGGCATAAGAGCAAACTGAGAGTGGAAACGCTGGGTGACAGCAGAAAGGAAAATCAGCCAGCAGAAGAATATACAGTACATTACAAATATTCCATACTCAAATATTCAGAAGTTGATAACCTATCAAAAAGAATTACTATTTAGTTAAAAGTTAGATTTAATCTGTTACATAAACTAAGACTTAATACCTGGATATTTCCGTTTAAAGGAGGTCACACCCAAATATTCACTGACTTGTTCTTGAAGCATATAGTATTCTCCTGTTTCATCAGGTGGCCATTTGTACTCTATCAAATTTTCTGCTGGATAGTAGCTAAAGCTAAGCACAGAAATATGTATTATGCCTTAAATGTGGCTTTTATTAAGTTTTAATCATTTTTATTTTAAGGATTTATTTTTGAGGAGTTTCATTTTTAGGAATTTGGAGAACTACTTTAATTATTTAAATTTTCATTCAGTCTTCTGACTCTGCCATACATACAAGTTCCTACCGTCTTGTGCGTCCAAGAACATCACAACACAGGCAGAGGGAAAGGAAGCAAGCGTGTGTGATACCAAACAAAACAGTACATTGGAACACTGGAACACACCCCAAAGAACCAAGACTCACAACTGTCAGCAGTAAAGGAATTTTGTAGTGTTAAGAGATCTATAAGGCCAAAACAAAACTGTGGTGATATTCTTTCTGAATTCCCTCTCTTGAGCTTCACGCCCATACCGCTATTTCATCCGCCCGAAGTACAAAGTCACCAACTCGTTTCCCACCTGCTGTTCAGCAAGTCAAACAGCTAAGAAAGCAGAACTCCAAAAACGTGTTTCTCAAAGAGCTAAACTATAAACCATAATTGTTTGGTTCTCATAGAGTCCACAGGCCAGAAGCACAGAACAGACCTGGTTTGATGGTGCCAGTGTACCACGGACCAATACCAACCCTGAAGAGCCAACGGCAGATCTCCGGGCCTGGCCAACTCAACCTCCAAATGTCATCAGTGGACAATAGAGGCAAGAATGTGACACTATTTTATGCATCCAATTAAAAGTAACAACCAAAAAGTAGAGTTTTCTCAAAAATAGTGCTGGGAAATTAGATATCCAAATGCAAAAGTATGAAATTGGACCCTTACCTCCTATCACATTCAAAAATAGATCAACAACCTCAATACAAGAACCAAACCAGAAAACTCTTAGAAAAAAACACAGGAATAACTCTTCCTGATCTCAGATTTGGCACTGGGTTCTAGACATGACACCAAAAGCATGAGCAACAAAAGAAAAATAGGTAATTTAAACTTCAGCAAAATTAAACATTTTGTGTATTTTAGGACTCTTCAACAGAGTGAAAAGGCAACCCACAGAATAGGAAGAAAGAACTGCAGATCCTGTTTCTGATAAGGGATTAATATCCAGAATGCATAAAAAAACTCCACTACTCAACAACAACAAAACAAACAACCCAATTTAAAAAATGGCAAAAACACCTGAATAGACATTTCCCCCAAAGATTCACAAATAAGCACTGACAGGATGGTCAACATCACTAGTCACTACAGAAAGTCAAATGGTAACGAGAGTGAGATGTCACCTCACATCTCTTAGGATTGTTATTATCAGAACAACTGGGACATAACCAACGGCAAAGGAAACTGCGCTGCTGGTAGGAACAGAAAATGATGTGTCCGCTGTGGAAAGCAGTTTGGTAGGTCCTCAAGGTGCTAAACACAGAATTACCCTATGATCCAGCTGCTCCTCTCCAAGGGATACACCCAAAGGGACTGAAAACAGGGACTGAACACATATTTATACGCCAACATTCACCGCAGAACTGTTCACAACAGCCCAAAGTGGGAAATAACCTTAGTGTCCGTCATGGATGAAAGGACAAACAAGAGGTGGTCTATCCACACAACGGAGCTCAGTTCAGCCCTAAAAAGAAAGGAAATTCAAACACATGCTACAACATGGATGAACTTTCGAGAAAGAAGCCAGACATAAAAGGACAAATATTGTATGATTCCATCTACACAAGGTGCACTGGACAGGCAAATCCAAAATGTCAGCAAGGGGATGGTGGCTGCCAGGGGCTGGGCAAAGAGGGAAGCAGCAACTGTTACTGCTTCCTGGCTAGGATGTTTCCGCGCAGAGGTGAAGCAATAGAGAAGGGTGCAGGCGGCAGCTGAAGGATGCTGGACATAACCGTGCCACTGAGTGACACACCCAAACATCACTACAATGGTGAATTTTATATGTGTATTTTATCACAATAAAAACAAGTTTTAATTGCACTGAGTAGCAAAAGCAATGTTGGTGTCATATGTAAAACATGACAAAAATATTCTACAATATCTAATAACTGCCTTTGCCAGTGCAGGGGCCGGGGAGGAGGGAGGTATCGCAGAGGAGAGAAACATACCACAAAAACTACTATTAAGCAACGAAATGACAGTACCCAAGATCTTGACTTGAAGTCTCACAACTCCTAGAGCTATCTCCTGAGCCCATTCGCCTCCTTTTGGATGGTTGGGTCCCATCATTTGAATTATCTTCATTATCATCCTATACATTTAAAAAATTCAAAAAATAAGAAGAGAAACAATAAAAAAATAAGGAAAGAATGATTATGTATCTTCCCAGACTTGCTAAAAGGCTCCACTTAAAGGTTTTCTAAGGACAACTGATTATACAATGTTAACTTTCTATTATAATTAACAGGGGTCAAGAATTTGGTATGGCAAGACCTGGAAGAAAACTAAAAAAAAAAAAAAGTGATCCTCAATACAATCAAAATAAGAAAATTTTTAATTAACCTGTAAATCTAAATCTACTTTTGCTTTTTTACCGACTGCAGTTAAAATGCCCTGTGCATTAAAAACACATAAAATTGCTGCAACACTCTAAAATTAAAGCGAACCCTCCTACCTCAGCTAGGGAAAAAAATGTGGATCATTTAGTGTTTAACTAAACTAAACTAAACAAAAAGTGTGGATCATTTAGTGTTTAACTCAACTCATAGCTGGTTGACAGGACTATTCTAACGGGCTCTTGCATACTTGTATTTCCGTGAAATAAAGGGCATACAAAGACTAAACACACATTACCAATCCTGTTAATATTTTTTCTTACATTGCAAAAATTTAGTGAGAATATTCCCTAATAAGAGTTAACAATCTATACAGCAACACACACACATCTCCACCAAAAGAGGAGAGGCTTAAGCATTTTTAGGTAACATTATCTGTGATGAGACAGTAATATCAAGACTCTAAGTCTGACCATTCCATTCAGAACATGAATGAGGCATCAGATGTTAGGAAATGGATTTATTCACATATTAGCTAAGGCTTAATGACTATAAGACTTACAAAAATAACTTAAAAAAAAATCAAGGACATGTAGCTTTGTAAGATGAATACAATTTTGTTAAATACCATGGTCCTCTTGCTACATATTAAAAAGAATGCAATCCTGTAGAAGAATACAAAGAGGTAATAAGTTATATTGGTCATGCATGCCAAAGCTGGACTGGGATCTTCTTACTGGGCACTGTTCTTCACTAGCTGAGCGAAGCTGTGTGAGCCTCTCCTTATCTATAAAATTGAGATGATACTACCGCCTGTATGGTGTAGCTGATGCAAGGATTAAATGAGTTAAATACATGGGAAGCACTTACAGCAAGGCCTAGCAAATAATTAAGTGTCCTATAAAAGTTAATATAACTGTGATGATAATCAGAAAGTCTCAAATGGCTCCAGCTACTAGGAATTTACTCAGATTCTTTCCCAAACAGTAAAATATATGGCAAATTGTCCTTTTTTAGTTCCTGTATAATATAATCATTCAATTAAAGAACTCTGTATATTCCTATTAAGAAAGGCAACCAGGTATGAGATGGAGAAGAATAAATGCCCCAAACATTTACATTTAACAGTAAGACTCACAATTGAGACGTTTCATATTCAGTATTTCAGAAATAACTACCTTTAAGCAAATTCAAGTATTTTATTTTTTTTGTTTTACTTGCGACTGAGCATTTTAAGGAGTTTTACGTCGATTTAAGTATATTTCCCTTGGCTAAAACGTTGAAACACTCAAAAAAAGGTGAAAAATGCAAAGTCCTCAAAAAAAGCTGCAACCAGAATTTCATCGGCAGTGCCCTGCATGTGCTATCAGCAATGCTAGGCAGAGGTACTGGGAGCACGAGGGAGCATGAGTCTGCGGCCCCTTCCACGCACAGGTGCGCGGCGGAGCGGGAAGCGTTAGGGACCGCCCGCACTCCGAGCCACAGGTGGTGCGCCCAGGCCGCAGGTGCGCGCCCCCCGCGGCTCTCCCCAGTCTCCCCCAGCGGCCGCTGCCCCCGGGCCCCACCTTCTGCCCCAAACCCCTGACTGCGCACACGCGCTTTACCGCGCAGCCTGGCTGCTCTCCAGTCGCCTCCGGCTGAACACGCGGTCCCCTTACCTCCGGGAAACCGCACCGACTACAACATTTCAATTCACAAAAAGAGTTTCGCAGTAAAAATTGGAAGGGCTGCGTGTTGGTCTAGTTACTAAACTAAGTTCACTGACTATCTTGTGCTCCAGCTGTCTGGTTGGTTCTCGGCGAGGTAACACTTTCCAGAGCCACGCCAGCCACCCCGGAGCCTCCGGAGCCCTCCGGAGCCTCCGGAGCCGGTTTCCCGGCTCGCGGCCGGGACGCCGCAGCCCCGGGAGCCGCTTCCGCCAGGCGCGCTCCGAACCCCGGCGACGCGCACTCCGCCCCGCACTCCGCCCCGCACTCCGCGGGGCCAAGCCGCCCCCGCCGCCTCGGGGGCCGGGCCGCGGCGGCCGAGCGGGGGGCGGCCTCGGGGGCCCGCGGCCTCCGGCTATAGTCCCGGCGGGAACCCCGCGGCCCGGCCCCATCCCGTCCCCGCCCCACCGGGCGCCAATCCTCACCTTCGGGGACGGCGCTCCGGGGGTGGCCGGGTCGCTGTCGCACGGCCGCGGGGAGAGCG